AGAGCTTGCGTGGTCTGAGAAGATGGGAGAGGATTGGCAGAAGCCACCCGCGGCACCGTTTGACAAGCTCATCTTCATGGTTGTTGATGCGCTGAGGAGCGACTTCGCGTACGGAGAGGAAAGCGGCATGACTTTCGTGCAGAGGTATGGCAGTCCTTGAACGATTGCACACGCGCAATTGAACTGACTATTACCTAGTCTGATACGAGACGGAACCGCGCTTCCGTTCACAGCTCACGCTACCTCCCCTACCATCACCATGCCCCGCGTCAAAGCCATAACGACAGGCTCCATACCCTCCTTCGTAGACGTAATCCTAAACTTCGCCGAATCAGACACGACGTCCACCCTCGCGACGCAAGACACCTGGCTCGCGCAGATCAAGGCGAAGGACTATGATGATGGGAAAGGAAAGCTGATCATGTACGGCGATGACACCTGGCTGAAGCTCTTCCCGAACGTGTTTGAGCGCGCCGACGGCACAAGCAGCTTCTTTGTATCGGTCAGTCATGAGCTCTCCGCTGTATGTAGGAGTAATAGATTGTTGATTCTCAAGTGCAGGATTTCACAGAGGTTGACAATAATGTGACGAGGCATGTTCCTAATGAGTTGCTGAACAGTGACTGGAATGCTATGATTATGCATTATCTGGGCTTGGATCATATTGGGCATAAGGCTGGTCCTAAGAGGTGCACTGCTCTGGTCCTTCACTTGAGTAGCGGCACAATGCTAATCTATCTACAGTCCTAATATGGTCCCTAAGCAAGTCGAAATGGATGGAATTGTCCGCGACATCTACGCAGCCATCGAGAACGAAGACCACCTCTCCAATACTCTCCTCGTACTCTGCGGCGATCACGGCATGAACGATGGCGGCAACCACGGTGGCTCATCGCCAGGCGAGACCTCTCCCGCACTCGTCTTCATGAGCCCGAAGCTCAGCAAAGTTACTGAGGCGGCTGACAAGCGGAGTCCCATCAAACCGAAGAACGAAGGAGAATTCGAGTACTACCGCTTGGTTGAACAGAGCGACATTGCCCCGACACTTGCAGGTCTCCTCGGATTTCCTGTTCCACAGAACAATCTCGGTGTCTTCCTGAAGGAGTTCCTAGGATTCTGGGATAATCCGTCGGACCGCATGCAACTTCTCTACCGCAATGCTAAGCAGATGAAGAAGATCGTCGAAGCCAAATACACCAATCTACGATTTGACGAACAGACATTGACGGAAGGCGATCTGGGGTTCAGATGCTTCAAAGCTGGGGAAAGCCGCTCGCACCTATCTGATGGCCAGTTGCTAGCGTGTCTATGGCAGGCAGCTGTCGGTGTGATCAGCAGTGGTGCCGACTTCCAAGAAAACGTCTACGAATTCATGCACCAAGCCCAGGAGATGATGTCCAGCACAGCCTCAAACTACAACGTCACTCGCCTCTTCCTCGGCACCGGTCTAGCTTTCCTCATCTGCGCGCTGAGCTATTCCACACTCCCTGCTTTCCGACCCGCCACGCCAGCTGGCATCTACTACGGCTTCGCCCTCGTACTATACGCTGTCCTCATGTTTGCATCCTCATACGTGGAAGAAGAACACAACTTCTGGTACTGGGCCACGTCCGGCTGGTTCCTATGCCTCTTCTTCAACAACATGCGGAAGGAATGGTACAATAACTGGATTTTTCACCCTGCCATCATGGCACTGGCCATACACAGGATTGTCAGACGATGGAACCAGACTGGGCAGAAGTACGCTGGCGCCGACGACATCGTCAATAGCGGCCTCTTCCACGGTAACTCGTCCGTCATACTCTGGATTCTCATCGGCGCTACGTACATGGATGTGACCATTCGTATAGCCAGACATGTTGCGCGTTCTATTGCGACCTTCGACGGCGAACAGAAGATGCACAGTGTGGAGATTGAGTCCACGGATCAGAATCGCATGTTTGGAACTATTGCCGTTCTACCACTCTGCGGCACGGCGTTGATCTTCAAACTCGCCTTTACCGTCAAAGACGCACCCGAGATGACCTACGGCCTTAGCGCAGGCTTGGTAGAGATGGTCGAGACGTTGGAACTCGTAGGCCTAGCACGCATGGTATTCGGAGGTTTACTTCTAAGCGGAGTCTGGATTACCTTCGCAGAATGGACACGATCGCAGCGGAGAAAAAGACGAGGAAAGCAGGGCAACGGCGGTACGTCCTCCCCCTCATATGTGCAGTTGACGAACTTACTAACAGCACCCCAGAACTCGCCGTCGCCTTCTTCGACCTAACAACGCTCTTCCTGCTCACGCAGACAAAAGCACAAAATATACCCCTCTACTTCCTCTTCCGACTCCAATACTTCTTCCTCAGTAAGCCACCCCATCTCATCTCCACACCACCCAACGCCCCCTTCTCTCTGCACACCACGCGCTAACCACCCAACCTCACACAGCCCTCCTGGACCTCACCCCCACAGCCGCAACCCTAACAACCCTCCTCCTAACCCAAACCTCCTTCTTCGCCCTCGGAAACAGCAACTCAATCTCCTCCATCGACCTCTCGAACTCTTACAACGGTATCTCGGGTTACAACGTCCTCGCCGTCGGTGTACTGGTGTTCATGTCCAACTGGGCAGGACCTGTGTATTGGTCTTTGGCGGGTATCCTCCTGCTGGGTTCGCACGGTCGCACGCAACGCTATATTGATACTAGTGAGCTGCATGTTGCGGATTGGGTGGCGAAGGAGAGGGAGTGGTTGAATGAGCTGGCGCGGAAGGAGGAGAAGGGACGGGAGACGAGGAAGGAAAGGAAGGAGTGGGTGGGGCATGTTGCTTTGTTGACGTTTTGGACGGGGGGCATGTTGGGCGCTGTTATGCTGGCTTGTACGGTGTTGAGGCAGCATCTTTTTATTTGGACGGTGTTTAGTCCCAAGTTCCTGTTTGCGATGGCTTGGGGGATCGCGTGGCATGGTGGTGTCACGCTGGGGCTTGGGGGTCTGGTTTGGTGGTTGGGAAGTTGGTAGTATGATTGTTCAGTTATCGATGTGGTCGGGCGTCTACGTCAACGCAACGGTTTACTCTTGAGGGCCTCCTGGCTCATTGTCATCTTCCCACTCATCATCGTTCTCCTCAGCGTCGTTATCTTCACCCTCGTCTTCTCGAGGCTCCACTCTCTCCTCACTTCCCGGCCTCACTGTCCATCCAAGCGGACTCTGCACTTCCTCTTCCTCTCTTCGCTTCTCTTTTGCTTTCCTTGATTCTGATCTGTGTCTCCTGTCATCCTCGCTCCACCTAATGCCCACCCTGTGACGCGCTCTCTGCCAAGCCTTCCTCGCCTGTTCTACGTAATCCGCCTTGTCCTTGAAGTACATCAGGTTGAAGTTGACTCCAAACTCCGAAAATTCACGTGGATCGTACTTCGACAAGTCCAGTGTAAGCTTCTCGCCACAGTATGCGCATCTCGTTTCCGATACACCTGAGGGTTCGTATGCGGGAATACGAACTGGGCCAGTTGGTCTGACACTCGTATTAGCATTGTAGTTTCCAAACGACTTTTTGGGGGTTGCTGTCCGACGTGAGAAAGGTATACGTACGCGGTAGATGGACCAGCAGTACCCACACGTGGATCCTCTGGATCAGGCATTGTTGTTGTCGTCTCGCCTCCCCTCTCATTCAGTCGACCGCAATACTCGCATCGCCACCTATCTTGCATTTTCCCGGCCTCGGCGCTAGAGATCTTGCGTTCACTGGGCTCCTTCTTCAGGTACGCGTCCTCACGCCATGTATCCGCCACAGGGTTGCGAGGTATACCGTGGCCTCTTTTCTGGGTAGGTGAGTCTGGGTCGTGGTAGTCCGGCAGTGAGGATTTTGGAGATCGCGCCCTATCATGGCTGGGGTCGTGCTCGATTTGATCCGGGAGCGTGGAGCTGCGTCTTGGGGGCGGGGGAGTGGGCTGGCGTGGTTGAGTGGATGTGACTTCGGCGGGTGTCATGGCGGCGAGCCCAGACGAGATGGATGACGTACGGCGGCGCGTGTTGGCGCTGTAGATATAGGTTAGCTGCCATGTTGAGCCAATAGGTGAGTGAGATGGGTAGAAGACTGCTGGGGATGGCCAGATACTTACGCAGCGCTCTCCACTTCATCCACGCTCCTGCGCGGGAACTGTTGCTCACTTGTGCTGGTCTCATCATCTCCATCGCTGCGAGACGGATACATTAGCGGCGTATAAGCAGACAGAAAACCCAATATTGGGTCTCGCAGACTGCATGAAGGATTTCGAGGTCACTTACCTCGCCTCGCCGTCTTCGTCGTCGTCTGAGCTCTCTGATGAATCGACCCAGTCGTCCGAGTTTGCATCGCTCATGATGGCGTACTTCGCGGAGCGGGTTGTAGAAAGGAGGACTGTGAGAGCGCAATTGCGAGTAAGTCATGTTGGGTGGTGTGGTTCGCGACTGCCAGCGGACATGCCGCACGGTTGTTGTTGTTTCGGTGTCGTGCCTGCTTGGGTAGTGGTGTATGAGAAGGTGCAATACAGCTAATAGGAAACAATGCTCAAAGTTTACCCTGAAGGCGACGTCGTACTCTACGTTGCAATCGGGACAACATGGCGACGCACACATGTTGGGCTACGCAACATGACCGACTCATTATCAAGCCCATCGACAGTGATCTCGTAGGCTTCTCGGTATATAACATCCTACCACCAACGTAACGATGACATCAAAAATCCGCAACGATGACATCCCAAAATCTATGACGGAGGACAGCAGTACGAATATCACTCAAGCGAACATGTGTAGAATAATGATAAGGGACAGGGCAGCTCGGACACGTAGGAATATGACGACGATTCTGCCAAATTATACATTCAAATCTGATGGCTAGCTACGTCTACACGGGTATTCACAATGGCCGCGCTTTGAGCACCTGAAACCGCATCGTCATCGCTTTGTAATGAGCTAGTACTGCTCAACCGCATGTAGGTATGACTCTGATCGTCTTTGCTCCGCTTCGTTAGCTGATCAAAACTCATCGTCCCGTCGTCTGCGTTCATGGTCTCGGGCAGGTGGGTGACGATTAGCACCCGCACCTGCATTTGCGCCACCTCCGCCTCCACCGCCCCTCCAATTAAGAGGGTTGAGCATCCCGCCGAAAGCGACGGCTAGTGGCGGTGGTGCTGGTGCTGGGGCTTGTGGTGCCGGAGCTACATGAGGAACGTTCACATGAGCGTGTGCGGGAGCTTCCACGGGCGCATCGAGACGAGCATCTGCTTCGGCGATAAGGCGGTTGATCTGCGCAAGAGTCAAGTCTTCAGGAAGCCAATTGCCAGGATCGACAGCAACGTGAACTCGCGCATGCGGGCAGTCGTCGCGATGCCGAATGTCCTTGGTGTACTCAACGAGACACACCCAACAGAAGTTGTGGCCGCACTGCTCACCTGGAAATGTACGTTAGTATCGGATATCACGGCTGATGTTTGACCTTATTCGAGACTTACATGTCATGTGATCGCATCCACCGTGCTTCTGGATGTTCATACCGCACTTTGGGCATGGCTTGGCTCCCATGGTCTTGACAGCCCTCTTAGACAAATCGTCCTCTGCCTTTTTCGCCTGGTCACACCCACCTTTCCCGTGCGACGTCCATGGGCGATTGCACTTCAAGCAAATTTCGTGTTCGCAGTAGGGGCAGGCGACCCGCTGCTTGCTGCTTTTGGTGTTTTTGCAGTCTTCGATGGAGAAGTATCGGCCGCACTTGGCAGAAAGACAGGGGATGTATGATTCGCCACTAGATAGAGCGTGCTTCGTGACGGCTTTGTCGTAGCTGCAACGAGTTAGCATATTGATCAATGGTGATACAAGTGAATGAATTACTCTTCGAAAGCTGCCTTACTAACTATGGCCTGAAGAGCTGCATAGTCTAGCGAATAGTCGCATTCGTGGACTGGGCAGCTCAACTCTGCATCCTTGAGTTGACGATCGGCGACCTTCGTCTTGAGCATCTTTGCGACACATAAGTTGCAGATAGTCTGAAGATGTTCGCAGGCATCATTGGGGACCTTGAAAGATCTAGACGTGTCCTTGATTGTTGCGCAGATTGAGCACTCTTGCTTCTTCGGTCGCTCTTTTTCCTTCGGTATCGGAAGCTTCTTGCGTGTCTTCGGCTCTGCTTTTGGTTTAACAACAGCACCAGCCTTGACACGAGCGACAGCTTTGGAGTCCTTCTCAAGAGAGGCCTCTGGTGCTTCAGGTGAGATAGCTCTAGTTTTCTTGCGAACAGGAAGCTTACGACCGCGCTTTCTGCCGGATGTGGTAGGAGCAGGCGAGGTTCGGGAGCCGGCTTCGGGCTCTGGGGTTTCTTCGATACGAACAGGGTTATTGCGGGTACCTATCGGGCCAGAGGGCTCAGCATAGTTGACACGGCGGTCCGGCCTAGCTCGTAGTCGGGTTGAAGGGGCCATTTTAGCTGTTAGTTGATGCTAGCGGTGGTTAGTATATGATGCAGTGCCAAATATACGGTTAGAAGGTTCTCTTATACGCCCCATAGCGTGTTCCCGAACCCCGCAGTAAAGTCAAGAACCTTTCTAGGCTACTGTAACGGTAGAGCATGTATAAGTTAATAACAAACGGGCAATGAAGCAATGTCGGTCTCGGCGAGTGCGCAAACGCACGTTTACCTCGGTTGGTAGAAGAAAGTCGTAACCGATGTTCCAATAGTGAGAGAAGTCGCAACGTTGGGTGGTTGAGAAGGAAGGATATGGGATGGAAGGCCGATAGAGCACTGGTAAAGGTCCATCTCTGTCCGGGCCCTTAAACCATCACGGTCGACGCGAAGACCATCGTGAACGGTCATCTCGTAACGATTCGTATACTGCCATATGCCAAAGTGCGTCCTCAATTGCCGCTCTTTGAGAAAGAATCTCCACGTCTGCCATTTGGCTATATCGACAGTCTCTCTGTAGTGCAAGCTGGTTGAGAGGGGTTTTTCGGTAGCTAAACTTCTCTACGCGTGTTGTCAGCGTGTCGTTGGATGGTTTGTGTGAACGCGCAACTTCACGGTGCGGCTGATGGAGGTGAAAGGAGGTCGGGGAAGCGCATGACGTAGCGATATTAGCGTGTTCGGAACATCCCGAGGTCCCAACCCGGCCACATTGTGTGTCGCGCGATTCTGATTCCACGACACCATTCGCGCTCTCGCGAGTCACTCGAACCTCGCACGCGTCAATTCGTCGCATATGCCCAGCGCCTGGGTCAAACGAATCGCTCGATCCCCGAATCTCGACCGCGTCATAGCACAACCGCTGGGCCTTACGAACGCGTTGACAGACAACACGAAGCCTTTATATTGGCTGTATACATGTGGACAAGACGAACAAGCGCTTGGACAGCCAATTCGTCATTACAAGAGTCGCTCTATCCGTTATACATATGTGCAGGGTGCCTGCTTTGGATCGTACACGGCCATGAAAACTAAGCTGCTGTGGACGTCGGCATTCACTATCTCTCGTATCTTGCCCGAAATCCGTCTATTATGTTGAATTGACGCTGATAGTCTCAAATTCAGTACTCCTTTGCAAGCACTCGGTTGTTTCTTTTCGGTCAAACGACTGTTCGCATCGCGACTTTTCGGTGCTTTCGTCTTCGACTACCACCTACTCGCACGCGCTCTACCTCGTGTACTGCTTCAATGACGGTGACGGTCTCATAACCCGCAATACCAACGCCTCTGGCAGGTCTACCTCGACCTGACAGTTTCCTTCGCTCTTTGACTGTATCAAGGTAGCTGCCCAGCGCGCGAAGTGGCATACATGGACGATGGAGGTTCCGGAAACGCGACCACTTTGTCCCACATCTCCGAGACCAATGATAATCATCTTCTGGGTTGGAGATATAGTGGAAGCCCTGAAGATCTGGCGCCAGTCTTCAAGGCGGGACTCTATGAGACCGACAAATCCAGCCCCCACTAGATCAGGCATTGTGTATCCTCCATCATTCATGTCTCGTTCACATCTGATTGAGTCGCCATGTCTTCCCGGTCTCGGCAATTCTGCAAGTATTCCCAACGGAGCCGATAAATCGACGTAGATCTTGCTCGGTGTTGAGATCTTCCCGACGATACTTCCTGCTGATGTTGTAGAAAGACTTCCAGACGTTTTCGGCATGAGTGAAGCTAGATTCTCCAGCGATTTCGTTTTCACCTCACATCTCCTGGTAATAGTGGATATGATCTCTTCCCGGAGCGCTTTGCAACAGCACAGAAGTGGCAAAGGCTTCGTTTCGCAAATTGGTGCCGCATAGACGATGGGACTGTCATGAACGTCAAGCCATATCTGTTCTCTAAGTTCCAGCGGCAATACACCGAAGTTACCCAAACTGTGTTGAACTGATCGACGACCTAGACGAAAAGATGCTCTCACGAATGAGAGAATTCGCAAGTATAACATACTGTGTTGAAGCGTTGTCGAGTCCAGGGCTAATGCGAGACGGTTCATATCGTTGTGCGAAGAACTCATTTTTGTAGAGTCCAGAGCTGATGCGCGACGGTCCATGTCCATTGTTGTAGAGTCCAAGGCTGATGCGAGACGGTCCATGTCGTCATGCGAAGGACTCATTATTGTAGAGTACGTTCCATTCATATGGAGAAATGGAGTGAAGCGTTATAGTAAGAGCCTGACGGAGTACCAGCTTAGGATGTTTTGCAACCATGGTTGTTGATGCTCTTAGTTCCACTCGGATTGCGGTTGTGGACCAGACTGCCGCTCAGTTCGCTCGCCAAACTCTAGGCAGCGATATCAGCTACGGTACATGAGCAGGCCCTGCAAATACCATCCATAGGCTAACCTCGACTCTACACGAACATTCTGATGTATAGCAGTGGCCGCATTGAATGGTAGATGATTCGCACCATCATTGCGCGATCGGGGACTGACATGTATGGAGAGGCTCGGTATGACGCGATTGGTGGAGTGTGCTTGTTCCTCGTCCAATGATACCCATCGCCCATGTTGGGTGGCTGATCACGGTCACCGGACCTTGGCAGCGTAGTGCCTCTGTGCCGTCCCATACCATCACGGCTGACAGCAATTCCTAGGTATACGCGACATTTGACTGCACCACATTCACTGACAGGCAGCGCTTTGCGACACCATCTTTGGTCCGGTGCGTCAGGCCTCGCTCATCACACCTCGTCCAAATGCGTCTTCTTCAGATCACCAGCGATGGTGACCTCAGCCTCGTCGAACATTTCGGAAACAGCATTCCTCCTTACGCCATTCTATCGCACACATGGGGTGCTGACGACGACGAGATTTCATTCAAAGATGTCAAAAAGAACCGCGCAAGAAGCAAACCTTTCGGTTACCGCAAAGTCCGATTTTGTGGAGAACAAGCTCAAAGGGACGACATCCATTTCTTCTGGGTCGATACATGCTGCATCAAACAGGAGAGTAGCCAGGAGGTCGGCGAGGCCGTTAACTCCATGTATCGCTGGTACCAGAATGCGGTCATTTGTTACGTGTATCTTGCCGACGTCACTGTTGGAGCCGCCTCGCCTCAAGATACAGACTCTGAGTTAGCGTGGCTATCGGATTTTCGAAGCAGCAGGTGGTTCACTCGGGGCTGGACACTCCAGGAACTCCTTGCTCCTATGTCTATCGAATTCTACTCACAGGACGGATATCGACTCGGGGATCGTACGACACTCCTCGCACAGATTCAATGGACTACTGGTATTGCTGAAGCAGCTCTACTTGGAAGCCCACTGTCGAACTTCTCAGTTGAAGAACGAATTTCATGGGCACGCAAACGCACCACTAAGCGGGAAGAAGATGCAGCATACTCATTACTCGGACTTTTCGGTATTCATATGCCCCTGATATACGGAGAAGGACGGGAGAACGCGCTGAAAAGACTGCAGAGAGAGGTAATCAGAGCTTCAAGAGAAGAGCCGCTTTTACCGATGTTGAGCTCGCCTTCTGCAGTCCTTTCGAGCGCCACAAACTCGCACCCCAGTGGTATCACGACTGCGGATGAGTCGAACCCTATCGATCACTTTGAATTTAGTAATGCAAGTAGCAAGGATCCTTTGCATCAAGCTCCAACGATGCATGCAGCTTTGGCAGCGATTCAATTCATATTCAGAATCGACGAGACCAGACAGGAATCCATTTTGGAGGCGGGCGAACGTCCAAGGATCATACGCGTCAATGGGGGTGTTACAGGAAAATGGTGGAAGTGTGGGTCAGATGTACGTGAGATACCAGAGCCGCCTAGTGCATGGAGAGTGTTTACCACTACTTCTATCTACTACAACGGGGGTAAAGGATTTTTTGTAGCGGAAGGCGGTAAGACAATCCCTCCACGTTGTAGAACATTCCACTATATCGTAGTGCAATCTCTGTCACCCAGATCTCACAGTACCATGATGGCTCTCCCTTGGTTTTGCGACGATCAACACACTAACTCTTTCCATTACAGATGCACCAACATTTGGCCCTGAAGAGGGGCAGTGGAACAGTCTCAGCTTCGACCACGACCACAATGAAGACTACTCGTCCAGTCTCAGTCTACATGGGACACACTCAACATTGAGGTGCCAACGACGTGACTCCGTCTGGCCTGATTTTTATTGCCCGACATTTACCATGGCCCTTCGAATTTGACGCCGTACCAACAATATGGCGGCCTAAAGGGTGATCTTTCTATCTTTCTTGCGCTCATGGCTTTTTCAATCAACCCCAATACACTCGTATCAAAGATGCCACGCCTGCGAGAACACGCTGCATGGTACTGCCATGCAAACTCCGCAAACGACGCAAACGGAAGTATGTACGAAAGCATTGACACTGGCCACAAGTGGCTAACAGCAGCACAGGATTTCACAATCGTGGTTTTGTGGTGTACGTGTACTGTGGCCCTGATCTAGGTAGTACGGCCGAAGATCTTCAAGCGTTTGAGGCCGGGCGGTACGGAAATTATTTCGATTGATGATATGAGGAGTTCATACCTAGGTAGTTCCAGTAATTATCCAGCAGAGCCTTCGTGGTCTTTCCATTATCATGAACGCTCATCCATGCCAAGGGCGTCCACGTATGGTGGTCATGCAACAGACCTCCTCTTCCTCGCTAAATATCGGGGGTGTAGGGTGGGGGAAGAGAAGTATGCTTTCTAAATGCCAGCAAGTTCAAGAGCTGGTTTTCGTCTATGGTGAAAGTCGCATGACCCCAACACGGTGCTCATGCCCCCGCACGACTATTGAGATACCTAGGTAGTCACCCTTCCCAGGTTTCTACCGGTGCAGCGGAAATTGGCCACTCTCCCAAGTTGCAAGACTTATCCCATCACAGACGCTTTCTTCGTCGCCCAGCTTTCATCTTAGAGCTCACGAATGTATTCTTATTGATCCTAAGTACCACAAGTGAAATGCTACATACCCGTGGACAGAATACTACTTGGAAAAGTT